ACCGAGCTCGAAGTCATTATCGAGCTCGGGTCCGAATCGAACTATGATGAGATGTGATTGAATCGAGCTTAAGGGCCAGAGGTTCCCAAGTCATTTCCGGACCCCGAGTCAGCATCGACCTCGAACCCGCATCGAACTCTAAAGTTGCACGCCGACCAATATCAACCGATACCGAGTCCGGTCAGGATCGAGCTCACAAACAAGAGTCGTTGCAGCCGCACTAAGAGAGAGAATCTCGGCGAGAATTAGGGAAAAACTAATTTATCATGGGTTCCCCACTATGTATTTTTAATTATATCTAAAGTATGGTTCCTTCACTATAAAAAGGGATGGCTATATTCCTGTAAAAAAGGGAAGAAAGTTTTTGGCATACATTGTAACTGAGATATCATACATTCTTATATTGAAGAGTTATCCTTTTTAGCTTCATAAATTGATTCATCTTGCTTAATCCATAAATCATCTTCCAACTTTGCTTATTTTTTCATTCTTTGCAATCAATATTCGATATTTTCATTTTACTCTTACGACTTGTGTCAAGTTATACCACATATCCTTAGAACTACGTACAAATTTAACTCTATATATTTTTCGAGTAAACAGTTTGGCGCCCACCGTGGGGCTAAGGATAACAGTGGTTATTTGATACGAATCTGCAAAAACACACCATCTCACTCTTATTTTTGGAAGTGCCTTTGATTTCATATTAGCAACGACGAGCTCTCAAATTAAATGGCCTTACCTATCGACAATGAAGCTAGCCTTCAAGGTGAGAACAACAACTTGACGCCCAGGGCCGGAATGCTACTTGTCGACGCCGGTGGAGCTCGAGTCGAAATGCCATTAGACATTAATCCACGTGTGGCCATTGAGGCAAACCCACACTCTGAACCTGAAAAATAGCAGTCAAGATGGCACTCGATCTTCAGCTCGAGATACCCATAACGTCAAGGAAAACGGCGTTAGCTTGCGTATGATTTTCGAAATGTTGCAAGCTCAACAAGTAGCGGTAGCTCAGTTGCAGAGTCAAACCCAGGTACCGAGCAGGACGGAGCCCAGTCCACCCCGAGAAATCACCCACAGGACGGAACCAGCTATAGTAAGATCAAATGAGCAAGAGTCGGGGACTAATCCCGAAATTGCTAAGATGTTCGAAGAACTGACCAAACGAATAGAATCAGGAGAAAGGAGAATCGAGGCAAACGACAAAAGTGTGGAAACATATAACTCCAGGGTTGATCGGATCCCGGGGGCACCACCGATACTGAAGGGCTTAGATTCCAAAAGAATTACACAAAAGCCTTTCCCCCCAAGAGCGGCCCCTAAATCGATCCCAAAGAAGTTTCGCATGCACGAGATTCCTAAATATAATGGAACGACTGATCCCAACGAACATGTCACCTCTTACACATGTGCCATCAAAGGGAACGATCTAGAGGATGATGAGATCGAATCTGTATTATTGAAAAAATTCGGTGAAACCTTATCAAAGGGAGCAATGTTATGGTACCATAATTTACCATCTAATTCTATCAATTCTTTTGCTATGCTTGCAGATTCCTTCATAATAGCGCATGCCGGGGCCATAAAGGTTGAGACAAGGAAGTCGGGCATGTTCAAGGTAAGACAAAAGGATAACGAAATGCTACGGGAGTTTGTATCTCGTTTTCAAATGGAACGAATGGATCTGTCACCAGTCACAGATGATTGGGCTGTTCAGGCTTTCACCCAAGGTTTGAACGAACGAAGTTCAATGGCCTCCCGGCAATTGAAGCATAACCTGATCGAGTATCCTGCTATTACTTGGGCCGATGTGCATAATCGATATCAATCCAAAATAAGAGCCGAAGACGACCAGTTGGGTCCTGGGTCCGTTAATTAAAGGGTTGCCAACCGAGGACAGAGGTTGATCAAAGACCGATACCGGCCGTATAATAGAAATCCTACAAGCTCGGTGTGATAAACGGCAAAAACGATACTATTGCTAAGCTACAACCCCCAATGTTCAATTATATTTCGAAACTAACCCCTGCAGATGTTCGACCAAAGACGAAGATTAATGAATTCGATTAGGAACTAAGATGGATTATTCAACACGAAGCCTTAGGTCTGAAAGCTCGCGTTGCACTCTTTTTTCCTCAGACCAGTTTTGTCCCAAATAGGTTTTTTGGCAAGGTTTTTTAATGAGGCAACCATTGATCGTGCTAACTCGGAACAATTCAACAGTATTCGAGGACTCCTTACAATCAACCTCGAATATCGGGGGGCATACCATTATCATTGAACATATCCACAATAATTATCAAGTACGGTGCAAAGGAAGTTACTTCGTTATTTCATGGTAACAAGGTCTCGACACGAAAAATTGTAAGGGCCAAATGGTCAAACGAGCCATGCCCATGTACTTGGCCTGAGCCCTGACACAAAACATGAACACATGTATAATGACTTACAAAGAAATATTTTTTCTTTACCGATATCTTATATCCAAGAAAAAATTCCTCTATTTCGACACCTATTGTGCGAACAAACTTAAGGGCCGACCATTAGCCCCATAAATCGGGGATTGCCAACCGAAAAATCAACGAGTTTGAGCAACACTCACTATAAAGCCCAAGGGCTACACCGACTCGAGTTCAAGCAACCATTTGGGGACTATCTACTAAGACTACGGGCTACTCTTATTTCGAGTTCGAGCAATCACTCACTCGACCATTGAGCCTACGGTCTACATTACTTCGAGTTCGAATCATTCACTCGACCATTAAGCCTACGGGCTACATCACTCCGAGTTCGAGCAAGCACTCACTCGATTACTAAGCCTACGGGCTTCGAGCAATCACTCACTCGACCATTAAGCCTACGGGCTATATTACTTCGAGTTCGAATCATCCACTCGACCATTAAGCCTACGGGCTACGTCACTTCGAGTTCGAGCAAGCACTTACTCAACTACTAAGCCTACGAGCTACTTTTATTTCGAGTTCGAGTAATCACTCACTCGACCATTAAGCCTACATGCTACATTATTTCGAGTTCGAATCACACACTCAACTAATAAGCCTACGGGTTACATCACTTCGAGTTCGAGCAAGCACTCACTCGACTACTAAGCCTACGGGCTACCTTTATTCGAGTTCGAGCAAGCACTCACTCGACTACTAAGCCTACGGGCTACCTTTATTCGAGTTCGAGCAAATCACTCACTCGACTATCAAGCCTACATGCTACATTACTTCGAGTTTGAATCATTCACTCGACCATAAAGCCCACGGGATACATCACTTCGAGTTCAAGCAAGCACTCACTCGACTACTAAGCCTATGGGCTACTCTTATTTCGAGTTCGAATCATTCACTCGACTACTAATCCTACGGGCTACTCTTATTTCGAGTTTGAGCAATCACTCACTCGACCATTAAGACTACGGGCTACATTACTTTGAGTTCGAATCACTCACTCGACTACTAAGCCTACGAGCTACTCTTATTTTGATTTCGAATCATTCACTCGACTACTAAGCCTACAGGCTACCTTTCTTAGAGTTCGAACAACCACTCACTCAACTATTAAACCTACGGGCTACCTTTCTTCGAGTTTGAGCAAATTACTCACTCGACTATCAAATCTACGGGCTATATTTCTTCGAGTTCGAACAAAGCACTCACCCGGTCATAAAAGTTGCAAGGTCTGAGTTCGATCAAATTGCCTAAAGCCTTATGAAAACCTTCGTAAGGCATGAATAAAACAAGATCTTTATGAATAAAACAAGATCTTCATAAAGCAGAAAACAGAGGCAAGTCAGGAAAAGAAAAAATCTTTATATATACATACAAGAATGTTTACAACGCCTAAATAGGTCCATACACAAAAAAACCAAAAATAAAA